ACCCCAAGCCGCAAGTCATAGGGTTTCTGCCCTGCCTTTGGCTTTCTCCCCGGAGTGTCGAGTTGAATCTTCCTTCTTCTCGGGGGTTGTGGAGCCGGAGAGGCTTCAGAATACGGTTGATGATCTATATCCTGCATGACCCATAATAAGGAATATAGTTCCCATAGTTTAGGGTCCTTAAGGTAGTCCAGGATTTATATCATCAACGGTACTGCGATTCAATCCTGCAAGCCTTGAACCCCAAAGTCTCACACCCGAAGGCCCGGTCCCCAAACCCCCAAACCCCCAAGCCCAAAACCCTGCGCCCAAGACCCTAAAACCCTAAACTCGAAATCCCCAAGCCCAAAACCCTCGAGCGCAGACCCTAAACCCTAAATCCTAAACTCGAACTTCCCCAAACCCAAAGCCCTCGGCCCCAGTCCTAGGATCATCTACGTTCGCTCGGTGGTTTGTAATTCCAAGCGGCGGCAGAAGAGGGTTGCCGAGGTCGCCTCGCAGGAGGAGACTCCTTGGCGGTTCGTGGGTAGCTATAAGTAGGGTTATAAGTTATAAGTAGGGTAACTATACTTGTAAGCCATATTAGGGGACTTATATTATAACTATCCATGAACCTCCAAGTAGGAGGTCCACCGATTTGAGTTTAACGTGTGGGGTTTAGAGTTTAAGGTTTAGGGTATATAGAGTAAAGGGTTTAGAGTTTAGGGTTCAGCCTTTGGGGTTTAGGGTTTAGGGTGTAGGATGTAGGGTTGGTGAAGAAGCCGCAGCAAGCAAGGGAAGTCAGGGTTGGGCTCTCCCGACATAGAGAGCCTTAAGTCCTAAACCCTTGGACTTTAAGCCCTAAAAGGCTTACTTATATAACCTTCAGCTCTGAACCCAGAGCCCCAAATCCTAAAGCCTATATCCCTGAACCCTAAACCCTACATCCTACACCCCCTCAAGCTTGCACGCCGAACCCAGGTTCCCCCCCCCGTGCTTCCACAAGTGCTCGGTAGGGATGCTCTTGAACCTTGCCACCTCGATTCTCTGTGGGGTTCTTTCTTGGGTTAAGCGTTCGGGGTGTAAGGTTTGCGTTGCTGTTTCGCCGCAAGAGTCTGAGAATGACGGTTGTTCAAGATAGCTGTGCTATGCGAGGAATACTGGACGACAAAGTCAATCCAGTCCAATTCAGGCTATGTCGAACTCACTCCCTCGCGAAACCTGAAGAAAGCAAACTGTGTTACAGTTGTGATTGGAAGGAAGGGAATGCTGCCAATACACGTAGCCAGCCCATCGTAGTTCAACAGCAAGATCGGTACCAGTACGAGTGAGCAGGCAGTGGTCCTTAACCTCAGTTGTGACACCCACAAGCGTTCCGGGATTGCATGGAGTATGTCACGCTGCACGTCGGTCTTCGAAGCTGTGGGGCATGGAATCTCTTTCACGACCATCCAAAGACATCTTCAGTTTCTCGCAGCTTTCGGGTTCCGCTCGGGGTTGATGAAGATTCCGAGTAGGATTACGTTCATGGTTCCGATTCCGGCACATGTCACGTTTTTATATGTAGTTAGTTTAATCATGTGTATAGAAAAATCCTAAACCCTAAACCCTAAACCCTAAACCCTAAACCCCAAAATATGTTCCTACTGTAAGGGGGTCTAAGTCTAAGGGCGGGTTGGCTGATATTCGATGGGAGTAGCGAGCTTCATATAGACTCTTCGAACTCTAACCCCCCACAAACCGTGAAGCAAGCGTTCTGAAGACCTTCGGGCTGACTGAAAAAGGCGTTCAACAAAAGCAACGGGAAACTTCAAGCGGAAACTTCAAGCCCCTAAACCCAAGCCAACCTCGCCCAGCTACGAGAGGACCAGCTTGCTTTGATCGTGAAGAAAGCCTACGACTCCTTGTTGTCTGCGACAGAATGAGCGAGGACGACGTGTCCACAGTATAGGACCCCTTTCGCCCGCTCCCTCTCCACTCTCCGATAACCCTTGTATTCTGACATCAAAATCGAGTACTATCATTCCAGGACCCTATAGCCCTACCTGGCCTACATGTTTGGGGGGGTTCCTTACTTTCTGTAGTGCTTAAGACGGTAGGCTGTTTGGGGTTAAGGTAAATCGTGCCACCTTCCCCTAAACCCAAAACCTCAACCCCAAGCCCCAACCCTAACCCCTAAACCCTAAACCCCTAAACCCCTAAACCCCTAAACCCCTAAACCCCTAAACCCCTAAACCCCTAAACCCCTAACCCCTAAACCCCTAAAACCCGAAACCCGAAACCCCTACACCCTAAACCCTGAACCCTACACCTTCAACCAGCCATGATTCTACTCTCCTTCGATGTTTTGGGCCGAAGGGCCCCGTCAGAGAATGGAGCTCGGGGGTTTCGGAGTCCGAAGGGCCTAGGTTTTGCAGGTTAAGGCTTTACTTAGGGGTACTTAGAAATATTCTTTTATTTTTGGTTATTATAATCCCTAAGAAACAGCTAAAATTATGATTTTTGCTAGGGTTCTAAGTTCAGTATAGTTTAGGGCGTAAGACTTAGGGTTTGGGAATCGGTGCTAGGGTTTGAGGCTTGATTCGGGTTCAGGTTGTAGGTTTAGGATTTAGTGTTTGCGAGGGTCTAGGATTTGGGGTTTAGGGTTTGGGGCTTAGGGTTGCGGGCTCAGGGGTTAAAGCTTGGGGTTGAAATTCTGGGCTTCAGGGTTTGTTTACTCTGAGTTCCGCACATGCCACTAAGGAAGGCGTGGGCGTGTTTGCGGACTTTCAGTGCATGAGCCCAACTGCCCTCAGATAGCAAGCTGCTCTTTACAGCGCTGGATGTGGAAGACTCGCCGCCTGTCCCCGGAGGTGTGCACTTGCAGAAGGCTTCAAATACCAACAGCAGCGCGCTGGCTTTCACATGAGTTGTTCATTCCTGGGGGACGGTGTGCGGGAGGTGTGCCCTTGCGGGAACGGCAAATGCAAGGACCTTGCAGCGACCCACTCGTTGCGTGTGTGTGCAGATGGGAGAAGCATCAAAAACGGGACATGCAACGGCTTAGTCGCATAGGAGAGTAGTAGGAGCCTTCTTATCAGGACACCAAAATACGGAGGCACCCCTAAGTTTCGGAAACTCCCAACATCGTCAGGTTTTTGCATGCTGGGCTCTAGTTCAGTGATCCCCGAAGCAGAGCTTCAAAGGTTTGAGACTCCGAACCCGGGTGCCGAGCCGATCTAGGGGTTTCCGAAAATTGGGGGTACCTTATTGATTTTTCGGGTCCTTATAGTAAGGATCCTACTATTTAGGGTGCTATATATGGGTCCCCTACTTTCGGAAACTCCCATCTAGGACTCTCCTTCTGTTGCACGGGGCTTTAATGGCCCCAGCCCAAGTTTAGCGCTGAAGTTGGCTGCCGACCGGGATCCCGGAGTGGGCCGCGTCTTTGAGGGTAGCGATGACACGGTGGGTTTTAGATTTAGGGATTAGGGTTTAGGGGCTTTGGGGTTTAGAGTTTAGGGGCTTTGGGGTTTAGGGTTTAGGTTTAGGGGCTTTGGGGTTAGGGTTTAGGGTTAGGGGCTTTGGGGTTTCGGGTTTAGGGTATGGGTCTCGGGGGTTTCGGGTTTCGAGGAGGCTTGTGAGGCTTACACCTGAGAGTCGCCAAGGGGGCTGTTCGGCTGGCTGTTCAAAGGGCTTCATGTGGGTTTGTGCTGAGTAAGGTTTTGAGTACCTCAATGTGGAGCTACTCCTGCGAGTGACGTCGTGTTGCTGCTGAAGTTAGAGTCTTCGGGTTGACATGGGAACCCGATGAATTGAGATAGTACACCGTTATGGTCCCTAGACATCGATAGTACAGCATTTCCTCCCTAAGTCGCATTCCAACAGTTAAGGCCCGAGTATCAGGGGAGTTGCCGGAGTTGCTTAGGCTTGCGAGCCCGAAGTTGGGAACGGTTGGTGGGACCTTAAGCTTGAAACGACCCAAAACCCTAAACCACCCGAAACCCAAAACCCTAAACCACCCTAAACCCTAAACCCTAAGCCCTAAACCCTAAACCCTAAACCCTGAACCCTAAACCCTAAACCCTAAACCCTAAACCACCCGAAACCCTAAGCCCAGAAGGCCACCCTGAACCCTGAGATCCCCACTCCGCATCCGTGTAGCGGAAACCCGTAGCTGCGATTGTCTGAACTGAGACTCATGCGCGGCCGGGCCACAAAAGTTCTTGCAATTTTTGGTTGGAATTATGCTTTATTGAGTTCCTGTCCCTGTTGCGGAGCCTAGCTTAGGACACCTCTTGGGCTTAGGGTGTTGAGGTCGGGGCTTGGTTAGGCAGTAGTGTTTTGAGTTTGGGGCCTGAGGGTTTAGCATCCGGAAGATATGATCACAGTTACTTGGAGGTTCATGGGGTAGTTATATGTAGGGTTAGAAGTCCCCTAATATGGGTTATAAGTATAGTTACCCTACTTATAGCCCTACTTATAAATACCCATGAACCTCCAAGTACCCAAAGCGTGCAAACCTCCCGGCCTGCTTTGCCCATGCCAAGTCTTGGACCTGTGTGGAATTAACCAAGTCGTGATCCTGGACTCACCGACTCTACACCCTTGGCCTTAACAGCTTGAAGCTGTGGCGTCATGCTCTGTAACGCCAAGAATCTTGGAAGCATAAAGACGTGTCGCGAACCCTCCACAGATTCAAAATCCCGAACTGTAAACCCTCAGCTCCGAAATGGCTCAGGGTTGACCTTGAACCTTAAACCCTAAGCCAACAGGGTTCAGGGCAGAGGGTTCAGGAACCCTGAGCCCCTCGGGCCGAACATCCAGCAGAACCCAAAACCCAAAACTCTGAGCCCTAAACCCAAAACTCTGAGCCCTAAACCCTAAAACCCTAAACCCCTAAAGCCCTAAATCCCTAAACCCCTAAAGCCCTAAAACCCCAAAACCCTAAAGCCCTAAAGCCCTAAACCCCTAAAGCCCTAAAGCCCCAAAACCCTAAAGCCCTAGACCCCAAACCCTAAAACCCACGAGCCCTGAGACGCCAGGCCGCGTTTGAGTCGCAGCCTCTGACAGCCACGGCTGCACTGCGCCATGCCGTGGAGCACGCAGCAACTGAGGTGCGGACGTTTCATTTCAGGATTAGGGGTTCAGGGTTTACCTTTGTCTGCGATGACCTGGACGTAGCTATGATTCTGTGGATACATCCTATAGCCATGTTGTCAAAGCCCCTTGTGTTGCAGCGGGCTTCAGGTACAGTATTGAGGGTTCAGGTTTAGGGTTTACACCTCTGGAAGGTTTCGGGTTCATCTTTGGATTTCAGGCTCCTTAAGATCTAAGATCTCACCTAGCGGACCTCGCGGTCGGAATACAGACATAGTATCATGCACCCTGAAACCCTCTACTAATCTTTTACCCCCTATCTGGCCCTATCTTATGCGGCTTAGGTTCGCAAATCGCCTGAGCTTTGGACTTCAGGACTCAGGGCTTCGTGGACTCGTGGGGTTTTGTGGCTTTCGACGACCGCTGGAGCCCAAGGGAGCTTCTCAAAGTCAAGGGGATCCTGGGAATCAATATGGGAGTTTCCGAAAATAGGGGGTACCTTATTTGGGGTCCTTATAATAAGGATCCTACTATCTATAGGGTACTATAGGGTCCCCTATTTTCGGAAACTCTCATAATATCCTACTGTGCGGGCTCTACTTTGAACCTTCAGCCCTTCAACCCCAAACCATGCACCCGATGCAGTGGGAAACCCTCCCCTGATGCCAAGCCACCGACTCCCAGGACCCCCTCCCCCCTCAAAAAAAAGCAAGAGTTGATCACTTGGGAGTTTCCGAAAACTTGGGGGTACCTTATTTTGGGGTCCTTTTAATAAGGATCCTACTATTTGGGGTACTATTTTAGGGTCCCCTATTTTCAGAAACTCCCACTTAAATCCTGAACCTTTAAACCCGAAGCCCGTAAAGCCTGACCCTCCAAACGAGTAGATCTAACCCCCCAAGCCCCTAAGCCCCGACACCTTAATTGCTAGATGTTCGCAGGTGGCCCGGGTACGGTCGTGTCACACGACATGGAAGGCTTCAACGGAGGCTGTCTGGTTCAATAGACAGACAGTTGCCGGCAGAATAATACAATGATAGCAGCACTAACAACAATTATGATGAGAACCAGAATCATATGCACAGTCATCGTCATCATCATAATCACAATCAGCATCACGATCGTGATCATGACAATATAAGAACAGGACAAGATCATACGACATCTTATTGTTTTTCTCCTTCTTCTGCTTCTGCTTTTTCTTATTTTTGGTGTTTTTGCTCAAGGTCAAAAGCTTCGTAGGGTTCAGGGTGAGCTTCGAAATAAGCCTTCGGGCAGAGAAGGCTGCTGTTAAGGATGCGGCCGACAGTCAGAACTGGACCTTCAACCCAAAACCCGAAACCCGCAGGGTTTAGGGGCTTTGGGGTTTAGGGTTTAGGGGCTTTGGGGCTTGCTTGCTTGGACTTCGGACATGTCTGTCAGACGTCGGCGTCGCTCTTCGCGACAATCAGACAGAGACTCCCGCATTGAGGAGGATCTCACAAAATCGAGCGGCAGCCTCGCAGTCCAACCCTGCGAGGGCCGCGTCTCTGGTGGCTGTATTAGCACACTCGAACTCAGAGACGGCCTGCCTGGCAGCATAAGCGAAGTCTGCGGCCTCAGGCCCGCATTCCTCGAAGAAGCTCTGGATTACGCTTAGCTGGTCGGCTGACACTCCCGCGTGCTGGGGCAAAGGGAGAGGGCCCACAGCACGGACTGCTGGAAGAGTATCGGTGGGCAGAGTTTCTCTGCGGCTGGTAGCCGGGGGAACTCGGCTGCAGAGGAGGGCTGGTGGAGCCGCTAGCAGGTGGTGGCCGCAGTTAGGCCGGTCGTGGGCGAGATGCCGGAGCAGCCTGGAGTGGCGCCAGAACTCTGTTAGACAGCAGGGGCAGCGCGTGGACGGAGCCAGCTGCGAGAGAAGAGTACCATGCCCGTGCTTGGCCCACATGTGGGCACGGGCGGAGTGGACATCCGGGAACTGCTGGTGGCAGATCTCGCAGCCAACATGTCCGATGGCTTCTTCTGTCTGCCCTGTTGCGGTGGAGGGCCCGTCAGGATCTGGGTCAACGGGTGCTCGTCTGGCAGAGAGATGACGAGCCTTTCGAAGCCAGCCCTTGACCTGGGAAGGCCGGTGAAGACTGTGGTCAAGAAAGGTAGTGAGGTCGGTAACACCGTGCTTGACCATGCGTGGACCGACAAGCTCCTGCAGCCATCCGAAGGCGGTCTGAGCCTCAGCCAGCCATGAGTGCTCGGAGAGCTCTGCTTCTTCGTGCAGGAGGTCGAACAGTCGCTCCAGCTGCTGTCCGCCCAGGAAACGGGCATGCTCGAGGATCAGCAGTTTACGCTGGCTGACGGGGCAAGGACGCCCTGACTGGTAACAGATCAGCGAGGCCGTGGGAAAGTGGGGAGCGCCGTCAACAATCCGCGGCCGATGCAAGGCTCGATAGAGCTTGGAGAGACCGTGCGACCAGAGTGCCTCATCTCTCTGGTTGAGATGATGCCAGATGGCAACTCCATAGGTAGCTCTAGTTATGGCCAGGGTGTCCAGGAGCACTGCGCGCTGCTCTAGCGGCACAGTTTGACGACGGAACACCGGTCGCATCAGTGGAGAAACAACCGTCTGGGCATGGGCAAACTTGATCCTTAGATCAGTGCGCACACCGCCCGTAGTGCGCAAAGTGGTACCCAAATGCTTGTACTGGGTAACACAAGCAAGCTCTTCTGGGGGGGTAGTGCGGAGGGAAATGTGTCCTCGTCCGGTGCGGTAGCAGGCCGTACTATGTTTGCGGGCACCTTCTCCATGCCAAGCGAGGAGGAGCTCAGTTTTGCCTGCATCATAGTTCGGAGCCATGGCTCTTCGTACACAGGCATTATGGAGAGTGGTGGCCACCACAGAGGAAACCTCCAGGAGAGAGCTTGCAGGCGCAGTGACAGGGAGCGAGATGTCATCAGCCCAGGTGGGCATATAGGCATCTGGGAGGCCCTGCGCACGAAGTTCTTGCCTGACTTCCAGAGTGAGGTCGGCAACAGCAAGTCCGTAGAGGATATCGGAAATAGCATCTCCGGGGCGAGATCCAGCCTTAGTGGTGGTGGCGGTGGGCACGTCATCCATGACAAAGAAAGTGGCATGAAAGGTGCAGGCGAGGACTCGTTTAAAATGCGGGCTGGCCCGGTTCAGCATCCCGCCAGAGGTCGCATATCTGGTGACATCCTGTAGGTGCTCTGGCTTGACTCCGAGTCTGTGGAGGAGCTGGCAGAGGTCGGCATCGCTGACCTCAGCTCCAGTAACAGCCTGCCGGACTAGGCGATAATACGCTGACCGGAGGTCAAGAAAGAGAATGGCAGCAGAAGTGCCTCGGAGCTTGGCTGTATGGAGGGCCGTCTGAAGGATGTGTGTAAGAGCAACGGGCCCACCACCCGGCACGCATCCCTGTAGCAGGGGGAGGTCCTTGTGCTGCACCTCGTCAACAAGAGTTGGACGATGGAGGCGGTGTAGGAACTTTGCAGCAGGGTCAAGGAGAGCGATGCTTCTAAAGTTGTCTGCTCGCGCGGTGGCGCAAGCCTTCTTAAGCATGGCAACCAGTCTGCAGCCTCTATATTGGACTGGCTCAGTCAGGCGAAGATTAGCCTTGACATAAATGGGAAGCAGGGCTTCAGCAGCAGCGGGGGGAGCTGCCTTCCACATGCAGCCTGGAACGCCGCTGGGGCCTGGTGCCCTCCCATCTTTTGCTCGTCGAATGACCTGTTCGACATCGTATAAAGACGGGAGGTCAGCGATGGTGCAGGCACCTTTGGGCGGCAAGCCGGGAGCGGCTGAGCAATATTCGTCGAGATCAAGTTTCTCGCCGGCCTCCTGCTTTTCGAAGTGTTGTCTATGAGCCTCTTGTTGGGCGGAGTGGGTCTGAACCGTGGCGCCTTCTCCGTCGCAGAGGGGGACCGCGGGCCCAAAGGGCTTGAAGACCTTTTTTCCGGCTGGCCTGAAGTGCCTGAGCGCGTGGTACAGCTCACGTGCATCCTGTTCCCTAGCAGCATTCTCAAACCTTTGTGCCAGACTGGCAATGTACGCTGCTTTGCTAGACTCAATTGCCTTCCGCAGCAGAGGCAATAGACGGCGATGTTCAGCAAGCGCATTGAAGTAGGCATGGTGGGCCTGCGCTAGTCTGTGGGTGCATAGCGAGACCGGGGAAGCGCTGAGGCGGGCAAATTTCCAGGCGCGAAAGAAGAGGCAAAGCTTGGTGCGGTGGAGGTTGTTGGCAGTATGCACGACGCGCTGCTTGGCTTGCTTTCTGGCACAAACAAGGGCCCAGGCTGTGTCATCAAGGTAGGCCTTGCGTGGGCGTTTGGATGCAGTAGCTGGGGCAGCAGCTCGCCACATGGCTGCATCAAGAGCAGCAACATGTTCATGCACGTTGGTTTCCCAGGGGATCTGCGCAGCTTGGGTGAGATGTGTGGTGAGGTCAAGACCAGCCCGCCTAACATCATCAACGCATCGTAACCCTATGCGAGGGAAACCGCATGTGACGTCAGGATGGGCGTCAGCCCGAAGTCTCATCTTGACACAAACAGGGAGGTGATCATCAGGACCTCCAGTTTCAAAGCTGTGCCATACACCTTGCCATTCAACGGCTTCAAGACAGGATTGAGGTACTGCAATGTAGTCAATCCGGTGCTTGCCACCGTTAGGTGATACCCATGTGAAGGCTTCTGGATCTTTGGCAAGGACTTTGCCCGTGGAAGAGGCAAAGGTGGTAGGTAAGGCCAGGCTGTGACTGTCGCAGAAATCACGAAGGCGCTCGCCATTGGGAGTTTCCGGATCTGGGGCATGTGCCCCGATCGCTGGACCTGTGATTTCTCCGAGCTGGGCATTGGCATCCAGGCCTGCGAGGAGTGGAATATTCGGCTGAACATGTTTACGGAGGATGGCCTTAGTTTCATGCCACCAGCCGTCTGCAACGGACTCAGTGGCCCCTGAGTGCGGGGCATGGCCTGAGAAGAGAAAACAGTCAAGACGAGCAGCCTTCAGTCGGAGGAGAAGCCGGCGCGGGTCCTGGTGCAGGATCTTGACTTGCTTGGCCTGCAGCTGGCCGTGAGGGAGGCGCTTGCTGAGCCAAATGGCACATCCCCCGTTGCCACGCTCGGCTGGACTGCGGAACTCAATGTAATCATCCGCCGCACAGGTGCCCCCACTACGATGGCGGGTTTCTTGCATGAAGATCACGTGGATCCGCTCCTGCTGGAACTGCACACGACAGAGGTCTTTCTTCTTGGCCAGGGATTGGACATTAAAGGTGCAGAGTGACAGCGTAAGGGTGGCATCGGTTTGGCGCGGCTGCTGCATTTGTGCTTGTGGGAAACAGTTGCGAGGCACCACATCTGGGGCTTCGTAGGCAGAGGATTGCAGAGCCGGCAGGGCAGGGAGAGCCTGCGAAGGGAATTTGTGGTGCCAAAGCCACGGGAGCTGCCTGTGCTTGAGCAGTGCGAAGAGACTTTCAGGGAGGGGACGCTGGACGAGAGACCTGGCCTGTTTAGCAACCTGATCCGCTAGTTCATTGCCCGGGCAACCCTGGTGGCTTGCGAGCCAGTGAAGCACAGCTGGGATTGGGCGTCTTTGCAGCGTTTGCCATAAGCATCGGCAAGCTTTCTGTAGACGTCCAGTGGCTTGCTGTGAGTGAGGCTCTGCGACGCCCAAGGCTATATCAGTGAGGGCCTTGCAGTCACAGAAAACGCGGAGCTGGACGTTTGGGGGCCAGGCCGCCGCCCACGCGGAGGCCACTGCCAGAGCGACAGTTTCACTGTCCATGTTGTCTTCCAGGCCAGCAAGGGCATGCACAGCGAAGGCCTGGGTGTTGCCAGAGAAAAAGCCAAGCACATTCTCCCAGGCTGCATGAGGAAAAGCATAGGCTTCACATACAACAACAGCCCAGCCTGGCTTCATTCCGTCCCCTGCAGAACCATCTACATAAATGTGGATGGCATCTGGACACCATCGGCCTGGCTCATGCCTCTGGCG